AAACCATGCTATGCAGTTTTTTACCCTTAATACAATGATATTATAGGTGAATCATGGATGACGTATCCGAATCTCAGGATGACTAGTCCACACACGATCAGAATTAATCCACACTTCAATCACCTCATATGTATGACAGTAACAGGACAATGATTAATTCTAGGCACCATAGTTGTCTGGAAATCCGTCCTAATACAACTGGGTATTTCACACAGTAAACTGGGGATACTGGGGTCAGTATTACTGGGTATTCCACACTATAAAATGGAGATACTGAGGTCAGTATTACTAGGCATTCCACAGTCTTCACCAGCATCCAGCATTTTCACAACAAGACCATGGGAGACTCTGTACACCCCTCTCATTGAGGAGATCCTCAGTGATTTCCCAGCTTTGATCTCCTCAAGGTTCTGGATGTTAATCTTTCCCAGACTGGTCTCCTTGCCCTTGACATCCCTACCAGGTTTCATCCTCACTGCCATCAGGGTCTGCTTGGCACAGCACTGTGGATGAGGGAGGATGGTGGTACACAGGAGGAGACTGAGGCTGCTGCCGGACCTCAGATCTGGGCTCACATATCTTGACGCCATCAATTTATTTGTACTTTCACTGTAATTTCAGCTTCAAAACACAATTCCAGTTGTTTCAGGCAGTGGGCAGTTATATTGTAGTGTAGTGTGAGTTTAAGGACATATAGCCAGCGATGGGCGACTGGACTGAAGCCCCACTGAGGCAGACTTTATTAATAAATAAAAATGACAGCAGGAAGAGGAAAGTTTGGGCCGGCTGGTGGCAGTCAGCGACGCCCTCATTCCGAGTCCGTGTCTCTGGGTGTGAGAGTTGGGAGAAGTGAGGGAGACACCACTCTCTGTTCCCAGGCGAGGTGGGAGGAGAGGAAACAGAACAAAAAGAGGGGAAGGCAGGGTAACGTGGAGCAGCCGGTGTCTGGGGGTCACAGGTGCACCATTGTGATGATGGTTTGGTTTGGAAATTAAATGCTCATTTATGGCCGTTAATTCACAGTGACTTCAGGAATGTCAGATTAAAAGGTGAGCTTCGGTGAGTCGTGTAGGATCACTGTGTTGGAGTTATATCTTTGCAGACGAGCAGCCGCTAAACCTCTGAGAGCCAACCATTGCTGCTGGTCTCTCCCTCACTTTATAAAGCTAATTACATGCAAATAGACGGCTGTAGGAAACAATGTTTTCATTTCCTTTCTGCAGACTGAAAGGCTGTAGTGTCACAGAAGAAGGCTGTTCTTCCCTGGCTTCAGCTCTGAGGTCAAACCCCTCACACCTGAGAGAGCTGGTCCTGAGTGAAAATGACCTGCAGGATTCAGGAGTGAAGCTGCTCTCTGCTGTACTGAGGGATACACACTGTAAACTGGAGATACTGAGGTCAGTATTATTGGGTATTCCACACTGTAAACTGGAGATACTGAGGTCAGTATTACTGGGTATTCCACACTGTAAACTGGAGATACTGAGGTCAGTATTACTGGCTATCCCACAGTGTAAACTGTAATTGAAAATAGTCACATTTACTTAAAAGTAATACTTTGTAATGGTGAGGTGATCTTATTTATTGGGGAGTCTCTGTCTCTCTCTCTCTGTAGGCTGGCAGGCTGTAGAGTCACAGAAGAAGTCTGTTCTTCCCTGGCTTCAGCTCTGAGGTCGAACCCCTCACACCTGAGAGAGCTGGATCTGAGCTACAATCACCCAGGAGACTCAGGAGTGAAGCTGCTTTCTGCTGTACTGGAGGATCCCAGCTGTAAACTGGAGAAGTTGAAGTGAGTACAGAATATGCATTTTACAAAAAAGAAACTGGACATCAAGAAAACCCACAATGCATTGCAGCAGTTACATAATAAACAGGAACAGCTTCTTTTTTCTTCTCCTACTTCCTTATGTACCACAAACTTATTAGGCTTCAATCCATGCTAGAAATAATTAAGCAGTGAACCAGGAAACATCCATTCAACCATATAATCCATGCAAAACATTTGTGTAAGTTAGCGGTACTGTTACAGTTAAACATGCTGATTTGAACATGTTATGGACAAAAATATAATAGCCACCAAACAGAATCTGGATGATTGTTAAAATGAGTTTTAGTAATTTAATTGTTTTCTGAAAATCCATTATATTGTGGCCCCTATTCTCCTCATTTGAATACAGTGCTGCAGTGTAAAAAGTGGATTTAAAAGTGTTTAATTTTTTTAAGGGTGGACCGGTGTGAACTCACAGAGAAATGCTGTGAGGTGCTGGCTTCAGCTCTCAGATCAAACTCCTCACCCCTGAGAGAGCTGGACCTGAGTGACAATGACCTGCAGGACTCAGGAGTGAAGCTGCTCTCTGCTGGACTGGGGGACTTACACTGTAAACTGGAGATACTGAGGTCAGTCTTACTGGGTATTCCTCACTGTAAACTGGGAGTACTGAGGTGAGTATTACTGGGTATTTCATACTGTACACTGGAGTGGAAAATAATGATTTCAAAATAAAGCAGGAGTATCTACAGTAAGTCTACAGGTTGAGTTAAAAAAATAACATTAGACTCGCTAAGTGGAATGTTGAAAGGAAGATTGCATTGGAGGCTAAGGATGACATTAAAAATTTCTTCCAATATTTTAACTCCAAAAGAGCTCTAAAAGCTAATCTGCAGGATAGTAAGGGCCTTATAATTGAAAATGAAATTGATATAGTAAATGATTATTTTACACTGCTCTTCACAGTAGAGGACACGAGTAACTTACTACCATTTAGTACAAATACAGTGTCGTATATAAATAATATACAGTGCCATCCACAATTATTGGCACCCCTTGTAAAGATTTGTAAAAACGGTTAGAAAAAATCCACCTTTTGGTGAAGAAGCTTCATCTCACACTGAAAAAATGAGAAAAATACAACTGTTCATTGAAATAAGGTTGGAGAACACAGAGCAGGGCATCTGAGACCATTCCTCTGTACAGAATCTCTCCAGGTCACCCAGGGTCCTCGGCCCTCTCCTGTACACTCTCCTCTTCAGCTCAGCCCACAGGTTTTCAGTGGGGTTCAGGTCAGGGGACTGAGATGGCCATGGTAGAAGCTTGATTCTGCAGTCAGCTAACCATTTTTTTCCCACATGTATCTTTATTAAGTTTTCACAATTTTGGATAACAATAGGAGTTCCAATACACGACAATAATACAATTTCCAAAGTCAACCCTCCTCCCAGCCCCCCCAAAAAAGGGGGGAAATAATTAGCTTGTCTCTAAAGATGGAAGTGAATCTACAAAGGAGATGACAGGATCCAGATGTTCTTAAATTTATCAGGGCAACCCCTAATACTGTACTTCATTTTTTCCAAGTAAAGAAGGGTCATGAAGTCTTTTAACCAAGATGTTGCAGATGGAGACTTTCGCTCTATCCAGTGTAACAGTATGCGTCTACGAGCAATTGAAGAGGTGAAAGCAATTATAATCAGTTCTCTTGTAGAAAAACAAGAATAATCAGTTGGAACACCAAAAATAGATGTTGGAGGACTGGGAACCACTGGTTTCTTGAGAGCTTTAGATAGTGTGTCGTAACAGGAAGACCAAAAAGAACTCAATTTTGGGCAAGAAAAAAACATATGGGTGTGGTTAGCCAATGATAGATTACATCTGTCACACATATTACCAGTATTAAATAGTTTATTGAGTTTAACTTTTGACAAATATGTCCTATGCAGAACCCTAAACTGAATTTATATCAAATTAGAGCAGGAATAAGATGAGCTAACCCTATCAAGAGCACACTGCCACCACTAGTCTGAAAAAACAATTCCTAGATACCTCTCCCGGTCGTCTTCAACAGCTAAAGATGATAAGGAAAAGGACAGGATTAGGTCCATCGTGGCTAAAATAATTTTTGAATTAACTGAGATAGAAAGAATTTTATCAATAAGCGAGTCAGCCGGTTGATGGGGAAAATTTGTGAAATTACAACGAGTAAGGTGTCTGATTTGAAAAAAATCTATATAAATGAGATGGAGGAAGGTCGTATTTGTCAAAAGAGCCAAAGGTTTTGTCTGTATACAACTGAGCAACATTCACCAGACCTTTATCTTTCCACAAAGTGTAGGCAGCATCAAACGATGAGCGTAGGAATAGATGGTTATTGCAGATAGGCATCGGAGTTGATGGAGAAACTAATTTAAAGTGTTTTCTAAATTGTCTCCATATCCTATAAATGAGAGGACTAACGGATTTTAAGTATATTTTACTTAATTTTTTAATTAATTTTTATTTATTTTTTTAATTAATAAAGGGTATTAGTTTAAGGGAGTACATAATAAAGCTGACAAGGAGGTGGAGCTGCAAGAACTGGCTTCCCTCTGACACCAATCAGTATGAGGAGAGTTATGCCAAGTGTGTATTGTATGAATGTTGGCAGCCCAAAAGTAGAATAAAAATTGGGTAATGCAAGGCCACTCTCATTCTTGGTACTTTGTATAGTAGAGTATTTTACTCTTGGGTTCTTATCTGCCCAAATAAATTGAAAAAATATTTTATCCAAACTTCTAAAAAATGATTTAGGGACAAATACAGTATAGGTAAACATTGGAATATGAATAAGAACTGTGGTAAAACATTCATCTTAATTGTGTTGACTTGCCCAAAAAAGGACAGGGTTAAAATGGTCCAACGCCGTAAATCTGTTTTAACCTCCTTAAAAAGCTTCAAAATATTACGCTTGTAAAGACCAGAAAAACTATATGAAATATTAATGCCCCAATAAAAAAAACAAGACAACGCTGTACAAAAAGGCAACACCCCAGGTGGTATCAGCTTAGCCGCGCTGTTGAGAAGGTAGCATTCACTCTTATCTAAATTCGATTTATAACAAGAGAAGGTCCCAAATGACTCTAAAATGCTCAAAATTTTGTCAGTACAGATAACTGGATCTGAGATATAAAGTAAATGATCATCCGCATATAGCCGTCGTGCCGTATGCGGGACGCGGAGCAGAGACGGAGGAGCGGCAGTCAGGAAATCGGGGAACACAGGGTTTTAATAAAGGGCAGGCAAGAAAACAAGCAGTGACATTACAATGACCAGACTGGGGAAACAAACTGAAATGCAGACTAAATACATCGAACTAATGACAGCAACAAGAAACGGCTGATCAAACGGGGATTCCACACGAGGTTAACGAGGGGGCGTGGCACACGGAGGGAGCAGATGATCGGGGCAGGACATAGCGAGACTTTGTTTTTTTTTTTTTTCTTTTTTAATATATATATGCTCAACTCCAACCTGAATTATTCCAGTGGAAAAATGTTGAATTTCTGAGAGCAGAGGAGAGTGGTTCAATCACGAGTGCAAATAGAAGTGGTAACAGGGGACAACCTTGGCGACAGCTACGTGATAAATTGGAAAAAATCAGACCGAGTTGGTGGTTACACTGGCAGTAGGGGATTGGTATAAAAGCTTAATCCATGAAATAAATTCATGACCGAGAACCAATTCTGCTAACAACTGAAAATAGATAATGCAACTCCACTTGGTCAAAAGCCTTTTCTGCATCCAGAGACACTACCAGTTTGGCCCTTTCTGAGTCTGATTTAGAAAGTATTATTGTCATGATCCGCTCCTGATGTGTGCCACGCCCACCTCGTTACCTCGTGTTCAGCCCTGATTGTGATCACCTGAGTCCTGTTATGTCTAGCTTGTCTTTTGTATTTAGTCCTCGTCTGAGTCAGTCTTCCCCAGATCCGTCATTGTATTTTCAGTGTAGTGTCAGTGGATGTCTCTGCTCGTTCGTCTATCGTTTAATAAACCCCTGAATACTCGTCCATCTGCCTGCTCTCGCCTGCTTCCCCGGCTCGCTTGCCCCGCAAGCACGACAGAACAAGCTAGACATAACAGGACTCAGGTGATCACAATCAGGGCTGAACACGAGGTAACGAGGTGGGCGTGGCACACATCAGGAGCAGACGGAGCGGATCATGACAATTATATTGAGTAGACGACGATAAATGGTGTTAGAGGATAAATGGTGGCCTTTAACAGATCCGGTTTGATCATTAGAAATTAGACGTGGTAAACAAGTGTCCAGGCGGCTAGCCAGAATTTTTGCTAACAACTTTATATCAGCATTCAACAAACTAATAGGCCTCCAATTGCTACATTCTAATGGATCCTTATTTTTCTTGGGAATGGGTAAAAGGAAAGCTTGGGTTAAAGATACTGGAAGGACACCATGTTCTTTGGAATCATTAAACATGTCCAACAAGAGGGCTGTTAATTGTCGAGAATTTTTTTATAGAATTGGAAAGCCGCCTGGGCCTGGTGCCTTACCATTTGCGTCATGCTAAGACTGGCCATAACTTCCTCCAAATGAAAAGGGGTATCTAGGTTTCTTTGGTTATTTCATCTAATGTGGGGAACTTCAGGCTAAAACATAATCCATCAAAGAATCATCTGGTGGGGCTGTCGATTTATGTAGTTTGGAATAATATGAGGCAAAAGCACTGTTTATCTCGTCCGGATCTGTAACTATGGTGTCTGGGTGTTACGAATTTGCGTGATTAATCGAGAGGCGGATTGATGTCTTAATTGCAGTGCAAGTAGCCTGTTAGCCTTGTCACCATATTTGTAGTATGTACCTTTTATTCTTCTTAAAATGAACTCAGCTTTATTAGTAGAAATTAAGTTTTTCCTGTTTTCTTAATCTTGCATTGTAGGAAATAATATCCCCCCAACGTGGCCAATTACGTGGCCATCTGTGAGTTCGTCTTAATACAAATATCGCTTGCAGGTTTGGTCACCATACCTTAAAAAGGACATTGCTGCCTTGGAAAGGGCTCAACATAGGGCTACAAGAGTGATTCCTGGTCTCAGAGGAATGTCTTATGAGGAGAGGTTAGCTGAGCTGGATCTGTNCTTGCAGGTTTGGTCACCATACCTTAAAAAGGACATTGCTGCCTTGGAAAGGGCTCAACATAGGGCTACAAGAGTGATTCCTGGTCTCAGAGGAATGTCTTATGAGGAGAGGTTAGCTGAGCTGGATCTGTTCTGCACCACACACATGCACACAGAAAAATCCACTTTTAGGTTAATAAAATAAGTCACCTTCTGGACCACTCATCTCATTTAATTGGGTAAGTCTGTCTTTCAGTTTCTAATTGTAGGTGCTTGGTGATAATTTGGTAATTTAATCAGTCTCACATTACACCAAATCCCACAACTACCAAAATCTATCTGAAGGCTTTGGGAGTTCTTTGGATAGTACGCTGGCTTCTGTCTGAATGACCACAAGACAAAAATTGATTTGATAAACACACAAAACAACACTAAGCTACAACAAACAATGGACAGACTTAATGAGACTGTGAAGCTTGTAGAAAAATGGTGAGTGTGATATATGAGTGTGTGACATATGTGATGTGTATTTCAGAGTGTCTGTGGCAGGGTTCGTGTGTATGAGTGTCTGTGGCAGGCTACGTGTGTATGAGAGTATCTGCGGCAGGGTACGTGTGTTTGAGAGTGTCTGACAAGGTACGCATTTGTAAGTAGAGGAGTGTCTGTACTTGTATTGGGGAGTTTTTGTCTGTCTCTCTGCAGGCTGTCAGGCTGTAGAGTCACAGAAGAAGGCTATTCTTACCTGGCTTCAGCTCTGAGGTCAAATCCCTCACACCTGAGAGAGCTGGATCTAAGCTACAATCACCCAGGAGACTCAGGACTGAAGCTGCTCTCTGCTATACTGGAGGATCCCAGCTGTAAACTGGAGAAGCTGAAGTGAGTACAGAGTGTGTGTCTGACACGCTACAGATACTTATGCATGTATGTTAAGAAGAGGCACCAATAAAATAAATGCATACAGCAGCACTACGTCATTCTGCTTCTCTTGTAGTGTGGATCACAGTGGAGAGTGCAGGACCAGACCAGGCTTACAGAAATGTAAGTGTGTTTGCATGTTTTTATTAATAATACCATTAATACTATGTTATGGTTGTATTCACACAATTGTTGTGATGAGTGTGGCTTTTTGCACTGTATGTAGATGGATTTCTATGTTTGTGTTTAGGTGAGTTTCTGTGTGTGTTGGAAAGGTAATGGAAGCTATAATCCAAGCCTACGACACAATCTACTTAGATTTCCAGTAGGCCTTTGATGTTGTCCCCCACAAACAGCTCTTGCTTAAGCTCAAAGCTGCAGGGATTTTATGAACCATACTGTAGCAGCTTGGATCGAAAACTGGTTAACAGACAGGAAGCAGCGAATAGTTATTAGAGGCAGAATGTTGCAGTGGGCCTGCGTTCATAGTGGGGTACCGCAGGGTTCAATTTTAGGACCACTATTGTTCCTAATTTACATTAATGCTATTGACACCAATACATACAGTAAACTGGTTAAATTTGCAGACAACACCAAAGTGGGTGGTGTAGCAGATACTAAATTAGCAGCACAGAGGCTACAATGGGATCTTGATTTAATTAGCGACTGGGCTGATACCTGGAAGATGAAATTTAACATAGATAAATGTAAGGTAATCCAAGCAGGGAGCAGAAATATAAAGTACTGATATTTTATGGGTTCCACTGAATTAAAGGTAGCTGATTATGAGAAAGACTTCGGTGTGTATGTTGATGCTTCCATGTCCCACTCTTGCCAGTGTGGGGAAGCAATTAAAAAGGCCAATAGGATGTTGGGTTACATCTCTAGGTGTGTGGAGTTTAAGTCAAGGGAGGTGATGCTACGATTATACAATTCCTTGGTAAGACCCCAGCTTGAAAATTGTGTGCAGCTTTGGTCACCATACCTTAAAAAGGACATTGCTGCCTTGGAAAAGGTTCAACGTAGGGCTACAAGAATGATTCCTGGTCTTAGAGGAATGTCTTATGAGGAGAGGTTAGCTGAGCTGAATCTGTTCAGCCTCGCGCAAAGGAGATTAAGGGGGGACATGATCCAGGTATATAAGATTCTAACAGGTCTGGATGCTGTTCAGCCAAATGGCTACTTCAATATTAGTTTAAATACTAGAACTCATCACCATAGGTGGAAATTAGCGGGAGAACATTTTGAACTGAATTTGAGAAAACACTTCTTTTCACAGCATATAGAGTATGGAATAGTCTTCCTGCTAGTGTAGTGCAAGCTGGGTTCCTTTAAATCAGAGCTAGATAAGATTTTAACAACTCTGAGCTATTAGTTAAGTTCTCCCCAAACGAGCTTGATGGGCCAAATGGCCTCCTCTCGTTTGTAAATTTCTTATGATGTTATGTGTTTTTAGACAACATCCAAATGAGAAATACAAAACATCAAAATCATCACCAAAAATACTATCAATTCATTTAATAGTTTAAAAAAATATTTTTCACAAATACTTTATGGCTGCTCATATTGTCTTTGTGTTTGTGTGGGAGTGTAGGATGGTTAAAATATATTCTGATGTTGTTGTACATCTTTAATTTCACAAAAAAAGAATCCTTTCCATTTGTTCTTTTTGCGCATGCCGTGAGTGTACAGTAAGTGATTTCTGTGTGAGATTCGTTAGTATTGTCCTAAGACGGCACCCGTAGGCAGTGACACCTGACTCTCTCCTCAAGTGCGAAATGTGAATTTGCATTTTTACAGGGTGGCTCTGAAACACTCCTTAATATTTATGAGAGAATATTCATGATTGGCCACTGAATGCCTTAGACCAGGGGTGACCCAATCCAGTCCTGCAGGGCCAGAGTCCTGCATATTTTTGGGTTTTCCCTCATTTAACACACCTGATTCAACTCCTTGTGCTAATTACCACACAGCACTTGAACTGAATAATTTATGGTGGAACAGGGAAAGAACTAAGCTACAGTACACTGGGTTCCGGCCCCCCAGGACTGGATTTGGGCACCCCTGCCTTAGACAGAAAGAACAGGCAGCACATGTCGATGTTCATTGGCCAATCAGGTAGCGATCTTTCATAGATATTAATGAGCCAGCCAATCATGTAGGGCTTCGCTCATGAATTTTATTAACATTTCCCGAACCAAGGTGTTAAATGAAATTTGCGCCTGGGACACACTGGATGTGCAGCGGAAAATATCGAATTTCATTTCGGCGCCCATGTTAACAGATTAGTGCGGCCACGTTGTGCTGTGTTTATATTGTACAGAAACATAAAGTACAGGCTGTCTGATGGTATTAATAATTCTTCCTCCTGCCTACAGACTCCTGCCAGCTGACGCTGGACCCCAACACAGCACACAGAGACCTGTCTGTCCAGGGGGAACAGGAAGGTGACAGGGGGGACAGAGGAGCAGCCATATCCTGATCATCCAGAGAGATTTGAGGCCCGCCCCCAAGTTCTGTGCAGAGAGAGTCTGACTGGCCGCTGTTACTGGGAGGCTGAGTGGGATGGAGATGGAGCCTGGATAGGAGTGACTTATAAAGGAATCGGAAGGAAAGGAGGGACTGACTGTCAGCTTGGATACAATGACAAGTCATGGAGTCTGTGGTGTTATCCTGTCAGTTACTCTGTCTGGCACAATGATGAACGGACCTACATATCCATAGAGCCCTCAGGCTCCCGCAGAGTAGGAGTGTATCTGGACTGGGGGGCTGGTGCTCTGTCCTTCTACAGAGTCTCCTCTGATGGACTGACCCTCCTGCACAGATTCACCTCCTCATTCACTGAGCCCCTCTATCCAGGTTTTTATGTTTATGGAGACTCCTCAGTGTCACTGTGACGTGTTGCTGGTTCTCCTGGTAAAAAGATAAAATTTCTACTTTTTAACCTTTATAATCCTTTTTATTCTGAAATGTATATTTGACAAAAATAAATGCCTGTGTTCAGCGAGCTGAATAAATATGGACAATCACAGTTTTTCTCTCTGACTAAAATGTAACTAAATGTTATCCTGATGGGGGGGGGGGGCTTTCTCCCTCCCCTGTATATGTACATCTTATATATTTATGTCTATTTACTGTATTTCCTCCCTGTACAATGACAATTAAGACTTTCTGTTCTGTCCTATTAATGTCCTGCTTCAGCATCACCCAAAGCATAACTGAGTCACATAATGAAACCACAGTCTGGTGATTCAGCATATTTACACCCATCAGCCGTGACATTAAAACCACTGACAGGTGAAGTGAATGACACTGATTATCTCGTTATGTGTAAAATGATATGATATCAGATTTAAACCAGTCACATTTCTTTTAATTGTTTTTGAATATCTGATACTGACAAGCTTGATATGAAATGAAGGCGTTCTGATAGAGGTGTGTCCTGATGTCCTCAGGTTCGAGAATGAAATGGAAAATGAGACTCGGTTTCAGTTTTATTTGTCATACAGTATGCAAGTTAGCACAGGGTCAACATTGCAATGAAATGTGATTGACGAGAATAAACAAGTCTCTCAGCAATATAGTATAAAGAAATAATATATTTATTGCACATGAAATAAAGTGACAAGAGTGAGCAGCAGTACAATTGTCAACAATTTAAGGTGGCAGTCAAGTAACAATCTTGCACAGAGTAAGAGTTTTTTACTTTTATTTCTTATAATAATAAAAATAAAAATGAAGTTAAAAGTGTACCTGAGTCTATATTGTATAGGACAGTTCGTATGTGCATCCAGTGTGTTCAAGTGTTGTAGTTGAGGTGTCGAATGGCTTGACGGTAAGTCACAGGCCATGTTTGTATCACTGTATCACTGTTAGGAAAGAAAGTGTCTTTGCATCAGAATCAGGGTTTTCTAATTATAAAAAGGCTGTTTAAAGATGCAGGCTTTAAATGCCTAATCAGACATATCAGTGCAGTATATCCTTGGAAGCAGTTTGAAGCTGCCATCGAAAGTGAGTCATCAGTGTTAGATGCCATGGTGGAAGACGGGGAACAGAAGATGGCAAACATGTAAAAACAACTGCAAATGTGCTTCTTTTAACTGGCAGTCAAAACATAGTACAGAGAGTTCATTTGGAGACTGCTGACTCTCACAACAAGGGCATCTTTTACTGTCTTAGGCGAAATTTCCAAACATGACCCATCAGTGGAGAAAAAGCTACACACAAGTGGAAATGCAAAGTGCACAAATTCTCGAATCCAAAATGGAATATTAGAGAGCTCGTCTGATAAGGTCCGCAGATCAAGGGAGGGGAGCTGTTTAGTTTGATTGCTGATGAAACCAAATATCTAAAGAAAGAGGATCAGCTGTGTTTAGTTTTAAGATCCTTCTCCAATGGTGCAGCCCATGAAAGCTTGTCAGACTTACAGTCAGCAGAAAGCTGATATGCAGCAGGACTAACAAAAATGACGAGTGATACAAACATGGCCTGTAATACAGGAATACCCTGGGGGGGCAAAGGTTACCATGGAGCTCCATGAGTGGAAAGCACTCAGGTGTGTCTGTGCGGATTAAGGAGGCTGTGCCATTTGCATTCTCTGTGCATTGCAGTGCGCAGTGCTTGAATTTGGTTCTTGTTTATGCAGTGAGATCAGTGTCTGGGGCAGATAAGTTCTTTTCTCTGCTACAGAAGATGTATGACTTTGTATCTAATTCCTTTGTCCATCTGAAGTGGCTTGCAGTTCAGAAAGAAATGTATCCACTACATCAGCCCAGAGAATTTCAAAGGCTTATGCATTGACTACAATGTTGACTAATTGACCGTGAGGCACACACATTTCAACCAGTTCACACGCCACGTCTTGTGTTTCTCACACTGAGAAGTAAGGAACAACCTCCACCAAAGTGCCCAGTTATATAGGATTAATGGATTAATGGCATATGGAGTGGAGTTTTCCGATGAGTTCTGTCACGTTCGCTGGGGAGGCGATCCAGGAAGCAGGGAAACGGAGCCAGGAAGCAGGGTAAACGGGGTTTATTTGGATGGGATCCACAAGACGGGGAAGAACGCAGGGTAACATCAATGACAAGTCTGGGGAAGACTGACTCAGACGAGGACTAAATACAACAGACAAGCTACGGGTAACGAGCCACAGGTGAGAACAATCAGGGAGAAACAGGAAGTAATGAGGTGGGCGTGGCACACATTAGGAGCGGACGGAGCGGGGCGTGACAAGTTCATAGCTGTCCCGAGTTATACAGAGTTAATATTCACCTACCAGCCAATCAGAAAATAGCATTTGTTGTTTCCGGGTGAATTCCAAAATATGTTACCTGTGATTACATGGATGTGCACACGGAGGGCAGACAAGGTGGGAGTGGCAGAGCAGGATCCGATGAACGTGGTAGGCAGGGCTCTCAGGTCTCACACTCCGCCCCTAACGGATGTAATGTCACTGCAAACTGTAGGTTAAACTCGAGGGCCCTGTTTAAGTGTGATTCAAGTGTTCAGTTTAACCTTAACTTTGCTGCACCACTTAATAAATTTTGATAAAATTCCACTGTTTTGTCTTTGAAACCCCCAGATACCTGTAGCTTTGCCCCCCCCATTTATTAATATCTCAAGTATGGTTAATTGTTTCATGTGTTCCCACTGTTAATGATTTAAGTGTTACTACAGTACCCCTTTTTACATGCATGATAATCCTGAATGTGTCAGGTTCTGCACCCGTCTGTCCCAGCCTTTCGTGTCTCCTCCCCGTTTGGCCAGCAGGTGTCGCTGGCCATCCTGTCCTCCCTATTGTCAAAGTCCACAGTGTGTTTTCCTTGTTCCCTAAACTGCTGCATGGCTCTATGTGCTGAGCATGTATTTGTATGCTCTTCTGTTGTGTGTTCAAATCCACCCACGTCTGTTTTTATATTTTGTAGATTTTGTTCCCTAGTGTTTCATTTTAGTTTTTCTCCTTCCTGAGTTTTGTGGTTTGCGTTTTGGTTTTGCTTGGTGCCTGTGTTTGTGATCATTACTGGTCTTTGGTATATTCTTCTGTTTCTTAGTTTCCCTGTTAGTTTGAGTTCCTTGATTTAATTATTAGTTTCACCTGTTGCCTGTTTTCTTGCGCCAGTCCTTGTGTGTTCTACCAAATTGCTTGTTGTCCTGATCCATGATTGGTTAATTGTTTCATGTGTCCTACTTTGTTTGGTTTGTGTATTTATCTTTCTCCCATAGTTTAGTTCCTGAGTTGGTCATTGCCTCAGAAGATTGGAAGTCATTTTGTGAGTTTGTGCTTTGTTCCCTTGCTTGTTCCTGCTCCCACTGTTGCCTTGTTCCTGGACCTTGTTTCCTTGACATTTCTTGTAGTTAGTCTTTGTTTTCCCCATTTTGCTTTTTGACCCCCATGGTTCTTTTCCTTTGTGGTTTTGCCCAGTGTTTTAGTTTCCGTAATAAACCCCCTTTGTGTCTCAGAGCCACCAGTGAATCGTCACCTTCTTTTTCTGCCTGAACCATACTGTACCCTTGTAACATTAAACTGTTATAACAGAATTACTCTTATTATCACTTACAATTATTAAGTCACATGCGTAATATCCCCCCCCCCCCCAAAACCTTGCACTGTGCCACTTAGTCCATGTCCCTTTTTATGTATGATACGGAACTGATCATTTCCTGTCTGTAAATGAAAGTGAAAGTGTTGCCATTTTATCAAGAAGAAGAGACATGAACACAATTCTGGAATAATATAAAGATATTATGCATTTCAAGGTAAGATTATACTCAACAGATAAAACGTATAATAAAATAAGCATGTTTAACACAGCCTACTTGTATAGTGGGATTTAATATTTTCAACATAAACGTTAAATATGCGTCCGTACATCACAGTAAGTTACTGTGTCACAGACGAGTTTTCTAATTAACATCAATAATATTTCATTCTTTACACTCAGCCATGAATTCACCTAATATATGGTGCTGCGTAAACATGGACCTGTAATATTTTGAAGCTATATTAAGTTTTTCTTTTTTAAGTGTTGGGGATAACTGCTAGTGTGCCGAAACATCTGGGTTAAACTCAAGTCTTAACGTTTTATTAAATTTACCTGTTCTGTGTTCTCCAATCTGAAAGGTGTTGATTAATTTTAGTCATACTTTGCAGTCGTATGTGTGTATATATATATATATGTAGCACCCCTATGCCCTTTTTTCCTAGGTGATATAAGGGTGTCCTGGGTTCTCTTTGTTTTCC